ACCACCTCCCCGAGAAAGGTTGTTTCCCCAGGTTGGGGATTAACAGGACTAAGGAAGAGAATAAATCAGTAAATCCCCCTAGTGTTACAGAAATACCATGTACTACTTATGAAGAACTTGGACTAAGACTGTTGGCAATAAATTTGGGACTTGCCCTAGCCGGTTTGGCTCAGTGGATAGAGCATCGGCCTGCAGACTCAAGGGTCCCAGTTTCGATTCCGGTCAGGGGCATGTACCTTGGTTGCGGGCACATCCCTGGTAGGGAGTGTGCAGGAGGCAGCTGATCGATGTTTCTCTCTCATTGATGTTTCTAACTCTCTATCTCTCTCCCTTCCTCTCTGTAAAAAATCAATAAAATATATTTTAAAAAAAAATTGGGATTTGTTGGGCCCACATCCCCAGGGGTCTTCCCAACAGGGAAAGTACCAAAGCCTATACCCCTGGAGACGCACAGACACAGGGCAGTCCCAGGGAAGGCAAGCAGCGAGGCTGGGAGGACATAACCTTTACTGGCTAGGATAATCTCCTTCAGTCACTTCCTTGTAGCCTATCAGTAGAGCAGCGACCTTGGAATAGCCCTTGTGATGGAACACAGAGATTAACCTAGACAGGATTAAAATCAACAGAACTAGATAGAGACAGGATTTTTTGCAAAGGTCAGATAAGAAACAAGGAACTGTAGAACGTTACCCAAAACATACCATGATGTGATTATAGAGGCATGCTTATAGGATTAAATAGTATAAATACAGATGTAACAGGACAATAAAGAGAGAACCTGGCTATGCTGATCAACTGAACGCAGTCTCCAGGTCATTCCTTCTTCGCCGACTCGGTCCACACCTTTGGGAACCCCTGGACCTGCTGGGGTTGGACCCCAACACTGCCTGCTGCACGCCCCACACTGGGGATCGAGTCCACAACCCAGGCATGTGCCCTGACAGGGAAATGGTGAGAGGTGGAAGGTGGAAGGCCAGAAAGGCTGGCCCCTCGCTCAGAGCATGGACACAGGGCTCAGGGCCCCTTCTCTCCCACCCCGCCCCCACCCCCGCTCGCAAAACTGGGGTTCTCACCCCAGCTGGGCTTCATCTCTCTGAGCCTCATATTCCTCATCTGGAAAACAGAGGCAAAAGGACGGGCCTTTTAGAGAAAGGGTTTACACAGCAGTGGTGGCCGGTAGCACTGTTCCTACCGAAACTCCTAACTGATCTCTGGGCTCTCCCTCTGTGACCCCACTTTTCCTAACCTGCCCATCAATTGTGTCAAGTACCACTTTGGTGATGCATTCCTCTGCTCAAGTCTTCCATGTCTGGG